ATATTTAGTCTGGGCCTGGGACCAGTAAAAGCTCACAAGTCTATTATGTCTTCTAAAACTTTTTGAGAGGGCCTCCCCTGGTGGCGCAGGTGATTGAGCGCTGCACTGTGAAGCTATCCTGCAGTCTCTGCAGTGCCAGTTCCATCCCAGCCGGCTGGTGAGAATCCCACATGGCGCAGCTGACGTCTCCTGTCTCGCCCACTGCTCCCTTCAGCAGTGTATTTCATCAGTTTGCCTGTTCTGTTCCCCGCTCTGTCGCTGGTGAATCCTCTCACCCTCCCACGCCTCTGGCCTGTACCCCAGCTCTTGTATAAATAAATAAATAAATCTTTAAAAAAAAATAAAACTTTTTGAGAATCTTGTGTGCTTTCTGTTTGGTAGCTATGATTTGTTAATATTTCCAAAGAAATATTAACAGACATGATGTCAAATTATTGAGGTTTTTTTTTTTAATTTTTTTTTTATAGAGGCATGTTATTTATTTATTTATTTATTTGTTTGTTTGTTTGTTTTGTTTATACATGCACTGGGTACAGTCAGAAGCGTGGGAGGGTGAGAGAATTCACCAGAGCCAGAGCAGGGAGCAGAGCAGGCAGAAGGACCGAAGTACACTGCTGAGGGGAGCAGCGGGTGGCAGGAGAGGTCTGCGCGCCATGTGGGACCCTCCTCTGGTGGCCAGGGAGCAACCGGGGATTGAACCGGCGCCGCAGAGGCCGCGGGCAGCTTCACAACCCAGCGCTCAACAGCTGCGCCACCGGGGAGGCCCAAATTATTGAGGTTTTAACAAAGATAATTTAATCCCTTTTCCATAAAAGAGACAATATGACTCTTCTTGTTCTTATTTAAGGGAAAAAATTGTGTACTAAAAGGTAAAGAATTAATTAGATACTCAGAATATCCCACTAATTCATAGATGCTATAGAGATTTTTTTTGTGTTTATCTAATATCTAAACTGCTAATGAGTTATGAACCTGTACTCCTAAAACATACATACCACATTACCTCAATTTTAAAAACTACTAATGTGTTTACTTATTTTATTGATTTGCCAACATTATTGTAGGTTTTAATCCTTAAAATAATTACCAATATATTTTTATTTAATGATAATGTCTTTAGGTTAAGCTCTGTTTTTCACTTATTTACTTGCCAACTATCTTCCCTCCTCCTACAATTTTTAAAACGATATTAAAATAAATAGGATTTGATGGACTTTAGACATTACAGATAAATTATTGTTCATACAGGAAATAGCTCTGTAAGTCAAACTGAAAACCAGGCATTAATGCTTGAAGGTCTTACCATAGCAATAACGGCTGCCCCAGCTCCAGCAAGTGCCACAATGAACAAGTGGAAGGTCATGTTTAGCTGCAAATGAAACCACAGAGAACCAAATCATGTGTCAAGGTTGCAGGCAGAAGACAGATCAGTACTGCTCCTATGTCATAAATATGAACTTTTACAAAGTGAGCATATGACAAACCAGTTCCTCCATGAAAACACATTATTACAATGACATCTCTACATCCTTCCAACTTCATCATTTTAGGGAAATTTCATGTTAAAACTGAGGTCATGGTTAATAATGATAGCTTTAGTAATATCATAAAAATAAAAGACTCTTTTTCTTTTTAAATGTGACTATAAAATTTTTGATGAAGAGGGTAGTTTCTAAAAAGAAATTAAAACATTTATTGTAAATTTTACTGGATTATGCAGAGCATCTGATTCCTGTGAATATTATTACTGAATAATATTGCTGCAAGTAAAATTGCCACTAAAAGAAAAAGGGGAAAAGTCAACATAGATTTAATTATATATTCTTCAAATAACAAAATGAACACTGAAATTCTGACTAAATTAAAGGCTGTAAAAACATTCACCTCAGTGGATTCACACATCCTCAGGAAATTCTCAGAGACGGTGCAAATTTTCTTTTCCTCTCCAATTGTCACAATCCCTACAGCATGGAGAAAATTACAGTTTAGCATTATAAATGTTTTCAGGGCCCAGAGAAAGAAAAAGAAATGTTGCTGATAAAATCTGAGCAAATTCCATTTTGTGTTATAATGGAAAAATTCTTCCCTGGTTCTCATTGTTAGATAATAATTATGAGTAGAATTATGAAAGGAAGACCAAAGCTATTTAGCCCTCAAGCAATTCAAAACATTTTCCATCTAAATTCAATTGAATCTAGCTACCAGAATCTTTGGATTCAACTGTAGGTAGGTTATTGGCTTGGTCCATTACAATAATGGTGTAGGCATCACAATCATTTAGAAACTATGCCCCAGACTGTGCTGGAGTCTGGGTCTAAATTTATTCTGGTAGCATAATGTTTCTATAGAAACATATTGCCCACAGGAGTCATTTTCCTCAGTTAATATTGAAAACACTGCTATTAGGAACGAGAAATAAAAAGATGTAATTTCACTCATAGTTAGCCTTGCTCCAGTTGGTTTATGAATCCACATCAATCAAAATCACCTGGGAACTGTCAAAAATATGTATTTCTAGGCCACTACACAGAGCTGTTCAGTCAGAATCTATGAGCATTTGCCTGGAATGCTGCCTTTTTAAAAGGAAGCAAGGTGATTGACACACACAGATCTCACTGCAGAAAAGAGAACTGATCAACTTAAGCCTAAAAGGGTTCTGTAATTTTAAGAACCACTGAAATGTTAAACACATATAAACATGAAGGGAAAAAAATCACAAGTTCTGGGAAAACTCATACCTAAGCTTTTATCACTTGCTGCTCTTTATTTAGTTTTAATGTGTGTGTATTCACACATTCTGAGCTTTAAGGTGCACTTATCAGCTCCCCTCTCCTATGGAGCTGTTGTCATTCTGCTTTGCAGAAGTCTGTGTGATCTTCAGTTCAAAACCATTATCCCCTTGCACTGCATCAAGTGTAGAGATACTTCTCTGTGACCTTTCCTTTCTGTCAAAATGGTTCTGAGAGTGAGGAAAAGAATACCTATAAGATTTGTCCAGTAAACCATTATTGTTGGGGCCTCCCTGGTGGTGCAAGGGGTTAAGCATCATCACTGTGAAGCAATCTGCAGCTACTGCAGCACGAGTTCTATCCCAGCAGGGAGTTACCCACATGGCACAGCAGACCTCTCCTGTCTCACCCGCCGCTCCCCTCAACAGTGTTTTTCAGTCAATCTGCCTGTTCTGTTCCTCACTCTGTCTCTGGTGAATCCTCTCACCCCCATACCCCAGCTCTTGTATGCATAAATAAATAAATCTTTAAAAACAATAATAAAATTCACTATTATTGTTGGGAAAGCATCTTGGTAAAGACTATTATTCCCCATACTGATCTATTCCTGATGTCATACTTGTGGAGGACCTAGTGTGTACACACATTCCTAACACATTTACCCACATTTGCAGCAAGACTTCTAGAAAGCATTCCCTTTGTTCACTGTAATTCCTCTCCATGTGTTGTCTTCACTTAAACCCTTACCAGTCAGATTCTGGCCCAAATTTCTATGGAATTTGTCCTTATAAAGGTTGCCAATGACCACCATGTTGTTAGAACCAAAAGCAAATCCTCTGTTCTCATTCACGTCTCAGTCAGCCATGTTGGAGGCAACTCACCATGCTTCTTTCTTGTTCCCTTCATTTGGTGTCATAGATCTACAATCTACTCTTTGTGTCTTTCTAGTCTCACTGACTTCTTGATATCTTGGGCTCCTGCTCAGCCCTGCCTGTGTTGGTGGGGCACCTCAGCATCTGGTCTTCAGTTGTCTTTCTGCCTTGTTGACCTCAGTGACTCATAGAGTTTTAAATATTAGATATCAGCAACTATTCCTAAATCAACTCTGTATGCATAGAGCTGCTATTATTTTCATCACCCAAGCAATAAAAACCTCTCCCAAAATCCAGATTCATGTCTAGTTTCTTACTTGACAACTCCATTCTGATTTTTAGTAAGCATCTAAAAATCACCATCTCAAAACTGAACTTCTGATCTCCCTGGTTAACCCACTTTCTAGAAAGCCTTTCTTGAAGTCTTTCCCTTCTCAAGAGAATATCAAGCTTGTCAGTTTCTTAATCAAAAAATCAACTGCTCTTTGAATCCTCTTTTTCTCTCAACATTATAGATAGTCTATCTCAAAATATAACCTTCAGATTATATTCAGACTGCTCTTCATGTTTCCTTTGTTACTATCCTTGGTCGAGCCACCAAAGTCTCGCAGAGGGATTATTATGTGAGTGTGCTAACTGGCATCCCTGCTTCCACTCTTGTGCAAACTATTATCTGTACAGCAGGAAAGTGATCTTTCTATAGTTTAAATGAGACCTTATTTCTCTTCTGGCAAAAACTTGCAAATATTCTCTATTTCCTTTAGAATTTCAATTGCTACAACCTTCAATGGACTCATAATAATTGTATGTTCCACAAACTTTAGACTTCATCTCTTCTCTCTACTTTCTTATTTTACTTCAGTCACATAAGCCTCCTTGTTTTTTGTTGAGATACTAAGGTATTATCTTGGTAACTTTGGACTGAATCTTACCTCCGTTGAGAATACCTACATGGCTAAGACCCTCATTTCTTTCACTGACACTTGGTAAAGCCTTTTTCCATCACCCTTTCTAATCTTATAACCAAACACTTTAAAAAATTTGTATGTTTTTAAACATATTTTACATATAAATATAAATATGCATGTAAAACATGTATAAATGTTTTCAGATGTACAAATATATAAACACACAAATACATAAGCATGTACATCTAAAGCATGTACATCACATAGAGAATGCAGTCTGCATCACATACATACCATGGACCACAAATCTACACTGCAAATTAGTTTGCAAACAAGCATATAAGTAACAGGAAGCTATGACAACAAGCTCAGGTATATAAGATGTGCTACAATACAAATCTGAAACCTGATTATTTTGACCCATGTGTATCTGTGTATGAATAACCAAATTGGTGTAACCCAAAATTAAATTTTTCCAAGTGCACTGTTTTTTTACTATGGAATGCTTCATGCATTTGTGTGTCCTTCTTGAACTGGGGCCACACTAATCTTCTCTCTCTATGTCTCCAATTTTAGTATATGTGTTGCTGAAGTAAGCACTCAAGTTTAGTCATTTTTAAAAACATTGACTACATGTTTTATTTGCTAGATATAGAGAAGTTTTTAGCTACAATAGACAGATTGACATTTCCAGTTTCTTAGCAGCAATTAGGAAAAAAAGCAAGTAGCCTCTGAATCACATACACTGTTATAAACCAATGTTACCTCAATTAAAAAAAAAAAAACCTACAAATGGGTCTGAAGTTTGCTGGAGGAAGTAGTAATGCTGATTGGTCAAGGACTACTGAGCTAAGTCTTCCCTTTCTTCAAGGGACAGCTGAAACCCAACCTTTTCTTTAATTCTTTCATGATTTGAGATTATATTGATTTCTGCACCTTCTCTGAATTGCAGTTGCACTTAGTCAATAACGTATCATTGACTTCTTGGGTTTTAATGAGTTCATATATGGCAGCTTCTCTTCCCTGTTTGAAAACAAGCTCTTTAAGAGCAAAAAGGTAAGTAATTCTCACCTGCTTAAAAAAAATGCTTAAAAAATAAAAATGTTATTGAAATAAAAACCCAACAAGTATTGCTCAAGAGAATGAACAATAACACACTGCAGAGAGAGATCACAGCAAGCACTTGGTACATCAGAGTTGTACTCATAAGCTTTTTCTATAGTTTTTCTTTATATAAGTTTAGGTTGGCTTAACAAAAGCAATATATTTATGACTTCTAAAGAATTGGTTGTGACTGAAATATGAAAACCTTTAAAGAAAATAATGCATATTGTATGCATAGAGTTGCCATTATTTTTATCACCCAGGCAATTAAAACCTCTTGGTTTTAACCTTGGAGTTATGTCCATATAAAAATGTCCATGTAAGCACACCTCTTCCCAGTGGAAGAGCTGTTCATAGTTTCTCTATTGTCTCCTTGCCAAAAAACTCCATCCTCAGAATGGATCATCCTGTTTTCAATTTGAATCTGACTATAAGGGGGGCCTGAGGACTTTGACAAGATGGCAGATGGGCCACACAGCTAGCTGGTGGTAGAATCATTTTATGCTCTCTGTCCTGTGAACTGCCCTTAATATACCCTCAAAGCACAAGGCCTTCAGACATCATCTAGTGAAATGTTACCCACTCACTTAAAGTATGAAAAAAATCTCATTAGAGAAAAACATTTAAAGTGTTCCAGATGCTAATAGGTTAGATTTTAATAGCTGTTCAGCACAAAAAAAAAAAAAGTCCATTTGAGCTTGTGAATATGCATATCTTTTAAAATTCATAGCTACAGTGTTTTTACAAATGATGAACTAGAATTGCAGATAGCTGCGATTAGACTTTGCACATTCCCAGTTCTGTTCCTATTTCAATAGGAGAGTGAGTTGATTTACAATGAAGAGCATAAACTCTGAAGCTAGATTGCCTCAGTTTGAACTCTGGCTCTGTCACTTTCTAGCTATAACCTCCTTGTATTGATATAGTATAACTAATATAACCTTGGGTAAGGTTATATATAATATAATCTTGGGTAAGGTTATATTAACCTTATTTAACCTCTCTGTGCCTCAGCGCTGTCATTTATAAAAGAGCATAACAACAGTATCTCTGCCATACAGAGTTTTAAGAATTAGTCAAATCAAGATATACACAGCACCTAGAATAGGTTCTTTACATTGTCAGTCCATAGACACAATGTAAACTATTATTAAAACATGAAACTTTAGCTCTCAAAAAATAATAATAATGAAATAGGACTACTGATTTATTTAACATTCTTTGATTTTGTGGTTTTTCACCATGAAGTTTTTTTGATCTATTTCAGAAGTAGATATTTCATGATGACCGTCACACCAGACTTCAACATTTGTGAATTTTTTAACAGGAGAAGATGAAAACACCACATTGAATTTGGAAAAGAGCCAGCAACTCGGGCTAAGGTAATCATAATTACAACTTGCCAAGTCAGGACATAAATCTGATAGCCAGCACAATATGTGTGCACATGTTCATGTAAGATCAACTTCTAACCAATCCTGAACCCCGACTTATTTAAATTGAAGAAAGAATGTCTTCAAAGTGAACACTGGATAGATTTATCTTTTTGGTAGAAGAGGTCATGTTGATGCTTTTCCAAAGCAATGAGGTGATTGGCAACACTGGAAGGACAGCTGTTTCAGTAAAACCATATGAGGTATTGTCTCACAGTCAGAGAGACACCTACCAAACTGACGAAGGTCCAAACAGAGATTTGCTCCCTCCACCAAGGTGGTATTTCGGCAGATGGTCCACAGATTGAAGTACATGTAAACTGGCAGGGAGGTGAAAGCTGTGACTCCCAGCCAGGCCAACATGAAAAGGTATGTCAGCATAATGAACTGCAAGAGAGAAAAGAAGAATTCTGTGTTTTATTGACCAAGTTCAACATAGAAGGTTCTGAGCACTGTATAGTGCACCAATCTTACCACAGCACAGTTAGGAACTGCAGCCCAGGAATCTATGGTCATGTCAATGAACCAGTGGGGAAATTGCACTATGGCAGACGTTCCGCTGGGCAAAGAAAAAATCCATCTGCATCATATTGCCTGTTTCATTTGTGTATTTATCTTAAAAATCCCACCTCACATATTTTTCAAACATTAGAACATGGTGACTGGTATATGACAGAGAAGATTCTGCAAAATGAGTTAAAACTTTGTCAACAGATTTGTATTACAATGAAGTGGTACCATTTCACTTCATAACTTAGTCATGTTTATAGTTAGCCTGAAATCTATGGTGATTTTCAAGGTTTTTTAGAATATAATGGTACGAGTATGTACTTTCACACTTTTAAAAATTCTGTGAATTTAAGTCATATGCATATTGATTTTACTTTTGCTACAGAACCAAATTAAAATATAATTTTGACTTTGAAAACGAGGGTCTTTTGATTTATTTCAGAAATAAACCAAAATTTATTTTTGTGAAATGTAATGAAAAGTTATTCATATGTCTTTGGTAGAGTTGAATTAGAGACTTAGTTTCAGCATAGGAGATGAGTTTTTAGATGTTAGATTAAAAAAAAAACAGATGCATATATTGGTAGATGAATGAACAGCTCATAAATGATAGATGATTTTTATGGCTTCAAATTACTTCCAATTATTTAATCCATCTCCTCTACATATAAGTCATCTGTATAAATATGCATCCTTAATTGTCTAAGCTAACACTTGTATTGACAACTACAGACATAATAGAAAAGGAACAAATAAGTCTTAATGGCCTGAGGGAAAAATACAGGTTTAAAACCACACATTGTTTCAAATTGATTATATAGCTTAAAGTAAATTATCTGTCACTGTATTTATTAGCATTGCTCATGATACAAGTAAATAATTCATTATATGATGTGTCCATGTAGGTAAACACCAAACACTACAGGTCTCTACTATGAAATATTAATAATTGTGATAAATCCATATCCATCCTAGCAATGTTCTAAAAGTGTGATTTGGCAGAGACATTTCCACCTTATACACTCAAGATGCAACAATACCTGGTCAAAAAACACCACAAAATTCATGTTCAATGTAAAGTTGTTTAAAGTGTAGTAAGTCAAATATTGATGATTTCACTCATATGTTGAGTATATGGAAACAAAGAAAGAGGCTACACTAAACCAAAACAAAACCTAGAAATTTGACTGCAGAATTGAGGCTACCAGAGCAGGAGGGTAAGCTCTAGGGACAAAATGGGGAAGGAACAATGGACCATGCTAGATAATTACTGGGGCCTTGGTAGTGGGTGTGATGCAGTAACATACACCTCAAGAGGTGTGAGCTTGTACCCCTAAATCATATACATATATGTTGTAAACAAATGTTATCTTAAAATGATACAATTTAAAAAATTCAGTACTGAAGTAAATATCCCTAAATGGCTCTTACTCCTTTCAATGGAATTGTTAGTTTCCATCACTTTTAGAATTATTTTATTTTGTACCACTAATAAGCCCTAGTATGTGGCAGGACTTCACTCAGAGAAAACAACACTTTCTTTTACTCATCAAAAGAATAAAATAACTCCTTGTGGAAATCTAGACATTTGGTCTTGAAATGCACTTGACTATCTAGGGTAAATACTTTTTTGACTCTCATAGAGATAAAGGAAAATATTACTTGGGTGGTTTTTCTCCTTTTTCCTTTTGGGAACATGGAAGATAACAAATCAAGGCCTCCCTGGAGGCACAAGGAGTTAAGCGCAGCACTGTGACTGTGAAGCTATCCACAGCCACTGCAGCACGAGTTCAATCCCCGGCCGGCCAGAGAGCTACCCACATGGCGCAGCACACCTCCCTATCTTGCCCGCTACTCCCCTCAGCAGTGTATTTCAGTAGGTTCGCCTGTTCTGCTCTCCACTCTGTCTCTGGTGAATCCTCTCACCCACCACACCTCTGGCCTGTACCCCAGTTCTTGGATACATAAACAAACAACTCTGAAAAAAAAATCAACAGCAGTGCACTGTGCTATGCGGCTGCTGACTCAGAATTCCTCCCTTCTCTCAGTCTTCCCTATCCTAGCTCATCATTCTTTAGGTACCCAGTCTAGTGAAGAAGGTCTGTATTGATTAACATTCTCTTAAGTATCAGTTCTCATTTGCCTCTAACATGAATCCCCTATATGATATGGTGTGTGTCCCCTTTCCGTTCTCTGCCATTTGAGTCTAATCCGCAAGTGGGTAGAGATCAGTTGATTCATTGACAAGCACTGACATGCCACTCTCTATGCCTCTAACCTAAATGTCACATTTATTAGCAAAAAAGGGGACTGAGAGCTTGCTGATTAAAGGCTTTTCAGCTGGGTTGAATCTAGGCTTCTCTTTGTACTTGATAAAATGGGAGAAAATGTTGATCTGATCACAAGTTTGTAGTGAGGCTGTAAAGAGATAATACGTGAAAAGCAGTTAGCATAGAAACTGACACATAAGAAACACAGACCAGATATGAGCTATTTTTCTTCTAGATAGAATTACTTTGATTATTGCCACTACCACCAAGACCTATGTTTTGT